GAAGGCGATTTATTTGGACTTTTTGTTTGACTTTGCCCTTATAATTTGGTCTGTCGACCCGTTTATATCCTAAGTGAGGCTTGTTATTATGACCACTAAAATGCCCACGTTTAAAATGGCTTCGAGGGCCACTGTGTGTTGCATGTGATTCAGTGGCTAAATTATGGCCAGATGAACCATAAACCGAAGGACTAGAACCAGTGGGTCTCAAATTATGGTTCTCCATTAACAAGTCATTATTTTGCTCAGCAACAAGTAACTGATATAAGGTCAGAGTATCTTTTTAAAACCTTTTTCTCTATATTGCTGTTGGAGCAGCATGTTAGAGATATGCATAGTAGACAAGGTTTTCTCCAACATATCAGCATCAGTAACTTTTTGTCCGCATAACTTTAGATTAGATGTTATTTGGTACATGGCTGAATCTTAGATTGATCCAGTCGTATTGAGCTTTAGGCAAAAGGACCTTTTGTTGGTAGTCATACCTCTCCTGTAATTGTCCCATAATTCTTTTGGATCATCAACTAAAAGATATTCAGATTTGAGACTTTCATGAAGGTGATGACGGAGGAAAATGATAGCTTTCGCTCTGTCTTGGGAAGATGATAGATTATTGGCTTCAATTGTTTCTTCTGAACCATTAGCCTTAAGATGTGCCAGATCATCGACTTTCTATTCCAAATATTCTTAACCAGACAGATCAAGAACGTCTCTTTTGCTTATGTTGGCCATTATGTCAAATTCTTGATTATTAATAAAAAAAGTCTCAGCCTAACCATTAAATTTTTTTATTGGAAATGGGTTACCGACAGAAAGTTCAGGAACCTCTGGTCATTTATGTAAAACTTCCTCAACTCCTTCCGTTCTTTATGTTTAACGAAAAATTTGATAATCAAATGTGTATGCAGTATGCATGTGATCATTTGCTCAGAACCGTTTTACTTTCTTTGTGTATAATGAAAAAAATAATAAAGAGTTAAACATGCATGTCAGTAATAAAATACAAAACCCGTGACTAACTTAGTGGATGTGAGAAAAGAACTATGTACTTCGGATATATAAATATGAGCATCAAATCTGGCTTATTACTTTCGTTGTTGTAGTGCGTAGTACTCAGTATTAGCTTCTGGTTAGACTTTAGACATCCAATAAGTGTATTTACGAAGGATTTATTGAAGTTGGTGTTCTTCTTTACTTATTTACGAAGGATTTATCAAGATTCATTTTGAAGGTATGTTATCTATATTTTCTATTCGTAATGTGATAGAAGATTTTATTTAAATCCCAGAATAATTTTCTGGCCGTTTGAATACTAAAAGAAGATAATATATATCAACTCTTGGAAGAATTTGAGCTGATTTCTTGGAGAGTTTTGAGCAAATTCGTGTTGATAACGTGTTGTGTAATGAATTGAAGAAGATGAAAGCCAGCCTGCAAAGGGAAAAGTTGAGAGCTTCTTCCCCGGGTAAATTCACGCCCAGCTCTTTTCCTACGATGAATTTTACGGGTTACCTGATTCTCGACTGGTGATGTGTTTTCCGAAGTGTTTCTTTGTCGGATTTCCCCTTAAGTCCATTTATTTGGTATTACGCGTGGATTGATGGCCAGAAAACCTAGGTTTTTACACGATTGAAGTACGACGATTTACCGTTCATGAACGTAGATTTGTTTTGATTTGTATCTGTTTTGGATGTTTCTCATTTGAAATGGACTCCTGAATTCGTTTCCAACCCTGGATTGTTTTCTTGGACACTTTGATGACAAACTGAAGCAAAACCCGTCCGTACTGATTTCGGTACATAGCGCTTGCTGAGGTCTATTATAAGCTGGTTTCATACTTCTGAAAGCTTGTTGGGGGTCGCTAGGCGAAGACTCTTAACCTGCTTGGGAGTGCTGTGGTTGGGATAAGCTGCGGTTGTAGCGGCTAATTCCAGGGGCCACCGGTGTTTTGAATCGTCTGCGAACTGCTATGGCCTCAAAGAAGATACAGGGGCCTGTTACCAGGTTCAGCTTTTCGGTGTTAGAAGATGCTGATGATGATTTTCCAGCTCTGTTGCCCGGAATTGCTGTGAAGAAGACAAAGAGAAATGTTGTAGCTAAGGTACCTGCGCCTATTGACTTACCTGTGCATACTCTTGCTGCGGATAAGGCTCCTGCTGCTATTGATGCTGGTTTGACTGTTGCTGAGAATGGAAAGGCAGCCAAAGGAGGAGTTAATGCTGCGGGTAAGGCTCCTGCTGTAGCAATAAATGAAGGCCAATTAATTCTAGCCTCTGACTCTGTATTGCACAAACCTGGGTGCAAGACTTCCGCCCCAGGGAATGCTGGACCAGTAGATGCAGGTGCTAAGCTGGCAAATAAATTGCTGGCAGTAACTCCTCTAGCTAATCAAGGGAAGGCTCCTTGGTCCTCCCTTTTCAAGGACAATCGAGCTCCTTCGAATGGCTTTAAATTAAGGTATATCCCGCCAAATGGCACATTCATAGATTTTTCCTGATAGAGATATGCCTAGTATGGTAGAAATGTGGGGATTCTGTTTTGTTGGGTTTTTCATTGGCAAATTTCCCGGCCTTAAAGCAATTTATGATTTGAAGAACACTTGGAGTGTTAAGTGCGTTGTCAAACAACATGAAAAGGGGTGGGTTATTTTTAAGTTTCAAAGTGAGGAAGATAGAACTAAGGTGTTGAAGGAGGGGTCTTACACCATATTTGGGAAAATGCTTATGCTAAAAGCACCGTCGGAGGATTTTTCATTTGATGATGAGGAGTTTCTCAAAGTTCCTATTTGCATTAAATTCCCTAACTTACACATAAAGCTTTGGAATGAGGATGCTTTGAGTGAGGTTGCTTCTATGGTTGGTGTCCCGTTAACTACGGACAAAGTTACACAGGATAGGTCTAACCACCACTGTAACACCCCCATTTTTCCCACCCAAATAAAATCACATTTTTAAATGAAACCATCTTTATTATTAAACATATTTAGAGTACAACGAAAGTCTTTAAGGGGAAAAACAGGTGTGTCACCATCACACTCAACCTATACATGATTGAGTGCACAAGTTATCCACACTCAACAATGAAATAGGTCTTAGGACAAAGTTTATGAATTACAAATTTAAACAACGATAATTAATCAAACGTGTGCACCTAGCGGAACACTCGGGCAATAAGTACATCAATCTTCATAATCATCTGTACAATAGAGCAAGGAGAAGAAGACAAAAGAGACAAAATTAGCTTTAGAGCTAAGTAAGATTCCACCTGAACTCGTAAAATAATATAATTTGGAAAATAGCTTTTGTATATGTATATACTATCCTCCGTTCTTTAATTCTTGCAACAGTTTGACTTTCACGTTTGTCAACACACAACTTTGACTGTAATTATATTTAATTATGTATTAGTAAGCATTATAAAAATTTGATATTTTGGAAATTCACATTGATAGGAATTTAATAACATTTTATACGTAATAATTTGATTATGAATATTAGTAGAAAATCGTGGTCAAAGTAAAGTCTGTGAATAGTGCAAAAATTACAATGTTGCAAGAATTAAAGAACGGAAGAAATATAGAAAAGTACCCTCTCAAATTTTCCAAAATGACTTAATGTCTCAAAATAATTTCCTCAATAGGTAATGTCATTCTTCAATTCCTCCAAGAGTAATGTCATAGATCTCTTTTAAGAATGGGCGAAACTCAAGATTCCTCGAGCCCAATGAGTCGTTGTTATTTACGACTCATCCCGGAGTTCCGGATCCCACCGACCACCAATTGGAAGCTGAATTTCTACCTTAAGTGTGCACACCCTCTAAAAGGAATTCCAAGCCCTCCGAGTAGTAAGAAATCCAAGTAGGCATGATGTTTTCTACCACCTACTCACAAGAGACATTGTCCATGGATAAATTAGGTAACTACTACTACAATCACCAAATGACCTTTGGTCCTCAAATAAAAGCCCGGGATGTCTACCGGAGCATGTCATTGCCGGATTGGTTACCGACCCAAATAATTTCAACCAAAAGTAGTAGTAGCCCTAACCACCCACGCCTCGTGTTTCTCTCAAGACGCAAAAATATATTATGAAAAACTTTAAGTTTTTCCCAAAGTCATTCTTGTCACACTTTTCAAAAATATCCTTTGTAATAAATATCAATCCACCAATATTCTTTAATAAAAGAATATACATTTAATAATCCATAATAGATAATAATCCACCAATATTCATACATTCAAAATATTCATTCCATGTCAAATAAATAGTTTTCAATTCATAAATAATTCACATAGTTCAAATATTGCATACATATAAGTACGAGATAAAACATTTTTTTGGTTGACATATAACTTACCTTAAATTGTGATAATTCCCTTAATAAAATCTCTAGCTTGGTCTTCACTTGAATTCTCCTTCTAATATATATCAAAATTCTAAATCAATAACTACTCTATTATCTTTGTTATTTCCTATCTATCCAACCTTTAATTATTTTAATTTCACAATTCCTTCTTTAAATATAACTATTAAGTTAGATTCATAAAACTTATTTAAAATGTTAATTTTCAGTCCAACCTTATTATTTTCTTTAATCATACTAATCCCCTCCATAATTTACTTTAATTTATTCGGTCAATTAGTTAACTAGTCTAATTAAATTAATTACATAATAATTTCATTATTTTGAATTAAATAATCAATTTCAGTCCAAAATTCAGTTTACATAATTTATATAATTTATTTAATAAACCTTTTAATAATAATTTGGCATAAGCAATTATTCGAAATAATAATCACTAATGATAATCTAATCTCAATAACAACCTTAATTAGTTCAATAGAATATTTATACTAACTAACCCAATTATATTAACTAATCCAGTACTCTAGTTTTATTTATTTGATTAATTAATTTAATTGAATTAACTTCATCAACTAAATAAGCTTAATTATATCAATATAGCTAAATACATTAATCTAATTCAATTAAGGCCAATAATAAAATTCTAATTTCGTTTTTATTCTTTATTATTACTATAAAGTCCAACTTGTCCATCATTTGCAATGGAGCCAAAGATTCATTATTTTTTGGCTTGAGATTATGATGGAATAAAGCAAAATGGCTCACTAAACTGTTTGCGCTTCTTTGTCATGAAGCAGCAGTCAGTCCATGCAATTTTGGACGGGATTTTTACTATGGGTCATCCGGAAACAGTCTCTCTGTGCTTTAGTACAGGGGTAAGACTGCGCACATCCGACCCCCCCTTACCCCACCGTAGGTGAGAGCCTTTGCGGCACTAGGGTAAATGAAAATGATTACTATAAAGTCCAACAATATTACCAAGTCCATATTTTAACTAATTTATCTATTTAACTTATAAATTTAGTTAAACTAGTCCAATAAGGTCAAGAGAGAAACTCTGGCGATTGACGTATGACTGTTTCAGCGACGGAAGGGGTGACCGCTCCTCCTCCACCTACCAAGGTGTGGGGAGGCCGGTCTTTTGCGGATGTTGTGTCTGGTAATGGCAAGGATCTGCCCTTATCAAAGAAGTGTCCAGATCGTTTCAAAGGGATGCCTTCCATCACCTTTCCATAGGAGGAAATTCAATTGCTGGCATCCCAACATTCTAAAGACTTGGTCGGTTACTTTTTTCCTGGACGTCCTTCTATGTTGTCTTTACGTAAGGCTTTTGATCTAATTGGATTTAAGGGAAAGTTTCATTTGGGCATTCTGGAGAAAAAACACATTTTAATCAGATTTGAATTAGAAGATGATTATGTTAGATGTTGGAACCGTCAGGTTTGGGATATTTTTGGAAGTGCTATGCGAGTTACTAAATGGACACCCGATTTTAAACCAAATCTTGAATCTCCTGTGGTTCCAGTTTGGTTAACCTTTGAGAATCTTCCGATTCATTTGCATGATAAAAGGGCATTGTTTGACATAGCAGGGATGATTGGTAGGCCTCTCAAACTTGATGCAGCGACTGCATCATTGGCTAGGCCATCTATGGCTAGAGTTTATGTTGAACTTGATCTTACTGGTGAAATGCCTAATAAGGTCTGGATTCAGTGTGGGTCTCATGGTTTCGTTCAAACAGTGACATATGAGAACAGGTCATCATATTGTACAAAATGTTATCATTTGGGGCATTCAGGTGCTACGTGCCCCAAGAGGTCTGGGGGGATAACAATTGAAGGCCAAGTTCCTAAGGAGAATTGGGTTGCTAAACCTAATTACCAAAAGGATAAAAAACTTATTACAGACGGGAAGAAGGGGAATGGGAAAGCAATTGACATGGATAAGGCTGAAATTACACAACATATTGTCTCCATTACTAATGCCCTGGATCAGCCATCTACATCTTATGTGAATTTGGAACCTCAAGACTCTAATCCTGCAAAGGCTATCCCTCAAGACTCTAATCCTCCTTGGAGACATTCCACATATCTGAGAAGGCAAGCAGGGACCCCAAATTTTATGCTAGCAAGGATGATGTGTTTACCACAGTTTTGAGGAGCTACCTGAGGAAAGATAAAGAGATGTCTCAAAAGACACACTATTCAGATGGTGACATAGTTCTTCCACAAAGATGTAGTAATATTCTAGACAATTGGGAGGAGATTAAAGCTAGGGTGGATATAATGTCTAAAAGGTTAGCTGCAGAGGAAGTTACTCATAAAGATAATCTGTCTATTATAGGCAATGGAGAAATTGCAGAAGGGTTTCAACAGGCAACTTCAAAAACAGAGAATGCTAGCATTAAAGAAAAGAATCAGAATGCACCTTCAGTTAAACCTCTGCAGATTGAATATGTTATTGAATCACAGGATGCATCAGGTACTCATATGGGGGTTCAATCTAGCAAACAACGAGGGGATGATAATGATGGTTTTACACAAGTTGCTAGGAAAGCTTCAAGAAAAACAAACTTTGCACAGGATAATAATCAGAAAAGGTTCACTAGAAGTGCAGCAAAAGATTTACCTCCACTTCCTGTTTCTCAATGAATTGGCTGATTTGGAATACTAGGGGTCTAGAATCCTCCAGTTCTAGACTCAATTCCCTAGTTAATCAATGGAGATTAAACTTTTTAGTTGTGATTGAACCTATTGTTAGCAATGCAAGGGCAGATCATTTTAAGAAAATTCTGGGGATGAATGAGGTTATTGTTTCTCCCCTTACCAAAATTTGGATTTTCTGGGACAATGAAAAAGTTACCATTTCAGATGTGAACTGGCACCCTCAGTTTGTTCACTTTAGAGTCCAAAGCAGCATTTTCAAAGGGTGGTGTACTGCGATCTATGGTGGACATACCTACATTGTTAGAAGAGAGTTATGGGAAGGAATTGTAAATATTTCAAGAAATATGAATGAACCCTGGATGGTGGGGGGTGATTTCAATGAAATTGCTGCCTTTAGTGATCACAAAGGTCATACATTACCTGTCTCTTATGGTATGAATGAGTTTTGTAACTGTATTGCTGCCTCTAACCTCTCTGAGCTTTCTCAATCTGGCCATCACTACACCTGGTCTGGAGTTAGAGCAAGGGGGAGAGTATGGAGAAAGATTGATAGGTGTCTATTCAATCAACATTTCATAGACAATTATGAACAAATACAGGTTGATATGTTGAACAGATCGCCTTCTGATCATTGCCCTATGTTGATTCAAATAAAAAATAGATGTCTTTCTGGTCCTAAGCTCTTTAGATTTCAAAATATGTGGACATCTCATCATTCTTTTATGACTTTTGTGGAAAATAAATGGAAATCTTATGATACTGTTGGAGGTATGAGAGGGATGTGCTTTAAACTTCAAATGCTTAAAAAAGACCTCAAAGTCTGGAACAAGAATGTGTTTGGGGATATTTTTGCAAACATTAAAGAATGTGAGCAGGAGGTTCTGGCTGCAGAAAAGGTCTTTGAGGAGGATCCAAGTGAAGGAAACAAGGTTGATTGGTCTTTCAAAAGAAGTCTGCTGCTCCAAAAGTATAAAGTAGAGAAGAAGTTTTATAGATAAAAGGAAAATATCAGGTGGATCAAGGAAGGGGACTCCAATGCTAGTTTCTTTCATAATTATGTAAAGATCAGAAACAAGAAGCAGATAATTACCTCTATTGGAGACTCTGAAGGCAACAGTTACACCACTCCTTCTGATATAGGAGATGTAACAGTGAGCTACTTCTCTTCATTATACTCTGCAGATCACCCCACTGGTAATAATCAAATTTTGGATATTATTCCTACCTTGATTACTCAAGAAGACAATGATTTTCTTACTAATCTCCCTACCATGGAAGAAGTTAAACAGGCTGTTTGGAGTCTTAATCCTAATAGTGCTGCTGGTCCTGATGGATACAATGGGAAATTTTTCAGAAAATGTTGGTCTTTTTTGAGTTTAGATGTATTAAAAGCAGTCCAAGAGTTTTTTATGGGTTTACCTATTCCAAAGGGTTTTGCAAGTGCTATGTTGGTGCTAATCCCTAAGAAGGACAACCCCAATACTTTTGCAGATTTCAGGCCTATTTGTCTTTCAAGTTTCTTAAGTAAAATCTGTACTAAAGTTATTGTTACAAGGCTTGACAGTATTTTACCTAAGATCATATCTAAAGAACATGCTGGATTTATGAAACAAAGAGACATTGCTGATCAAGTTCTTATTGCTCAAGAAATGATTCATTGCATTGATAAAAAGATCAGGGGCTCTAATTTGGTGGTAAAGCTTGACATGGCTAAAGCTTTTGATAGACTATCTTGGCAGTTTCTTTCTGATATTCTGCTTAAGTTTGGTTTTACTCCTATGTTTGTCAAGCTGGTTATGAATAATCTACAAGCTACTAGGCTCTCAGTCCTGATCAATGGCTCTCCTTATGGTTTTTTTAGGCCTAGTAGGGGGGTTAAACAAGGTGACCCCCTATCACCTTATCTCTTTATTATTGCTTCAGAGGCTTTTTCAAGGGGTATTTCTAAGTTACTTGAACAAGGGAAAGTAAAACCTTATTGGATTGGAAATTCTGGAGTTCCCATCTCTCACCTAGGTTATGCTGATGACCTATTGGTTTTTCTAAATGGAGACTCAGGATCTATTCTGAACTTTAACAAGTTCTTGCAGGATTACCAAAAAAGCTCTGGCCAGACTATTAATTTAGATAAAAGTCTTTTCTTGTGTGGAAAAACATCTCTTAGAAGAATCAATCAGATAAAAGAGCTACTAGGGATGAAAGTTGCTTGCCTTCCTATCAGGTACTTGGGTGTTAACCTGCATAAAGGAGTAAACAGATTTGAGTATTGTGGACAGATTATTAATCAGTTTGGAAAGAAGCTAAATACTTGGAATCAGAAGAATTTATCACAAGGGGGGAGGCTGATTTTAATCAAACATGTATTAAATTCAATCCCCTTGCATGGTTTAGCAGTTGACAGCATTCCCAAGAGAGTTATTAAGATACTCAATAGCAAAATGGCTTCTTTCTTTTGGGGTTATTCAAGTGATAAGAAAAAATTTCACCGGATTAAATGGGTAAATCTTTGTTATCCTACTGAGGAGGGTGGCCTAGGGATCAGGTCACTAACAGATATTGAAAAGGCTTTCACTCTCAAGCTTTGGTGGAAATGGAAAACAGGGAAGTCTATTTGGACTGATTTTATAAAAAGCAGGTACTGATTCTTCAATATGGAGAAGGATATGTCATGTTCATGAATATGCTTCCTCATTATGTTCTCAAACCACCAATGGAACTATCATCTGGAATGAAGAGACAAATGGTCAATTTTCCATAAAATCTGCATACAATGAAGTGAGGAACAACACTCTGCCTACCTTTTCATTCAAACATCTCTGGAGCCCAAAGCAGGAACTTAAGATCACCCTTTTGCAATGGAAGATTCTCAAAAATGCTCTGCCGTTCCCCGAAAAGTTAAATCAGTTACATATCATATCAAATCCTTCTATCTGCTATTTTTGCAGAAATAGCATTTCATCTCTGGACCATGTTTTCTACAATTGCAATATAGTGAAACCTATTTGGGTTTATTTCATGAGTATTTTGGGTATTACTATACCTAGGAGTACTACGTCTATTACTCAGGTGTTCAGAAATTGTTGGCTCAGTACTGGCTCTTTAGACCTTCTGGATATTTTCAGGCAAAATATTTCGGGTATTATCTCCTGGAATATTTGGAAGGTGTTTTCAAATTTACAGTGGGGAGAAGGGAATGCCATTTCAACTACTACAGGTATCATTCAAGCTATTAAACTCTACACACAGGCCTGGTCTCACTCTCTCAAAGGGGTTAAAACTCACTCGGTTGACAAGATTCTGTATGAGGAACATATAATTCCTATGGATTTCCGTAGTAATATCTATACCTTCCAGATCTTGAAATGGGGAAAACCGAAAAGAATGGTTAAACTGAATACGGACGCTCGTTACTTATCTGGTTTGGCGACGGGAGGTGCGATTCTGAGGAATCGTTGTGGTCAGCTTCTTCGAGCGGTCAGTTTTGAGGTGGAAGCTTCATCTGCGTTAGAGGCGGAATTGAAGACCATTTCCCAGGCGATACAGTGGGCGATGGAAGCAGGGTATAGCGACTTTGAGGTGGAAACAGATTCAGCTTTGGCGGTGCAACTTCTTCTGGACACTGAGGTGCGGAGATGGAGAGAGCTTATTCAGGAAACCATACAGGCAGTGAATAGGAAACGCCTATCCATTCGACATGCCTATCGAGAGACCAACGGTGCAGCCCATTTTTTTGGCCCAAGCTCATTCAGGCCAAATGCAGGAATTTCTTAGCCCAAATAATTTACCCCCGATGGTTAGACGGGCTTATTTTATGGATCTGTTTGGTATTGCTTCTTTTCGATTGCATTAATTTTTTAATTCTTTTTTACATTTGTATTTTTTACGAGGTTTTGGTATAGTCCCCCTCGGTCATTGCAATTCCATTTTATTATAATAAAATTCTGGTATCTGACTCCCGGCATTTACCCCACTGATTTTAGTGGTTTGCCTTCCGGGATAAAAAAAAGTCCAATAAGGTCAATTAACTAAATTATTAAGTACACATTACTTAATTAAATTATTTATATTAGTCCACTAAGTTTTATGAGTTCAAATAGTTTAACAACTTATATGAAGTTCAAATCAATAATAATCAAGAATAATAGTTATTAATTTAATCAAACTAATTTAATTAGTCCACTAATTGAATAATTTATTTATTAAGTCCAAATATAGTCATTCACTTATGCTAGCTAACCCAATTTTATTTAGTTTTTATTATTTTATTCCAAACATCATTTTTAGTCCAGAATATTATTTTCAATCTCAGTGATTTATTTATTTCACCATTAATATCAAAATTTCCTTATTTAATTACTTAACTAGTTTTATATGGCTCAATTAAATTAAATTGCTTAAGAATCGACTTTATAAATTAATAACCGTTCATAACTATATTTTGGGTCTATATTTGACTTAGGTTGTCCATATATTTATTTTAGAATTATTTTCTTTATTTATTCATTTAATTTCATATATCTATTATCCGGTTTAATTACAATTAAATATACTAATCATAATTTTTACTAAATATAAATGGTCCCAAATGTCCTAGTTAGTCATATAATTAAGCTAGCTTACTCCAATATTTATTTCATAATTTATTTCGTCATTTAGTTAATTATTTACTAAATATGTACAAATTGGCCAATTTACAATTAATTCAATCAAAAATAGCTAAAAATATTGTATTTCAATTCAGGTTGGTCCGAATATGTATATTTATACTAGGTATTTAATTTGTATTTTTCCAGATTTTATTTATTTCATTTACTATTTTATTTTTAATTTTTATTGAAAATGGGCTGAACCGGCCAAATACGCGACCCGGCCCAAGAAGACTGGGTTGTCTTCTTCCCAGCTCTTCTCCAGGTCGCGATTTCAGCGACCGAAATTACGAAAACTTCGATGAGCGATAACTTTACTTACAGGTAACGGTTTTTGACGATTCAAATTGCAAAATGATCCTGACGTCGATACGAAGCTCCGTCACCCCTATCTACGGTCAAATATCCGCTTTTTCTGAAGACCCGTTTCCACGGCTTGCAACTCCGACGACGCCTAAGCAACTCCGGTGACTACGAATCGGTCTGGAATTTATTGGGAAGTATTCCTAGACTTCTCACGACTCTCCTCTCTTGCTTATAAGCAATTTCTTACGTAAATATATATGTGTATATTTCCGGCGACCTATATGTATATATATGTATATAGGTTTTCTCACTCGTTTTCTTCAGTTTGTAGTGATTTAGAATGGAAAGATATCTTTATTTATAGCTGTAGATCGAGCCTTGTGAGCTGTGTGAATTATTGTGAATTATTTTTTTTATAATACATTTTCATAATTCATAATGTATATACATTATATGATAGGTGTGAGATCATGAGGTTGGTTCCTAGCATGTGAAGATGTTTTCCAGATCTTGATGAGTATCATTGTTAATATTTTATTATCAAAATACATATTAATACTTTAATAGATGTATGTGTTTCTATGTATATATATTATTTATATATATTTTGTATATGATTTTTATATCTTATCAAAATACACAATAATACTTTAATATATGTATCATGTGTGCGTTATATATATTATACTCCGTATATGATTTTTATTTCATCTTATATCATTATGTTTGGAACATACTCTGTAACGTACTGTTTCTACATTTTCGGTTTAGACCAAATCAGTCCTGAAGTACAAAATGTCCATTCATAATTTTAACACTTTTGCTAACAGTGTTAGTGTTTATAAAGTTAGTTATAATATTTTAACATTTATTTTCTTTTAATTTGCCAGATATGTTTTATCTGGTTTATTTTTATTTTATTTTTGTTTAAATTTTCGGGGTATCACAACCACTTTGCTAGAGTTCTTATCGAAGTGGATGTTTCAAAACCACCAACACTATCATTTCCTATACAACTACCTTCCCGTAAGGTAATCAAACAGTTTGTGGTCTATGAAACTTTTCCCAATTTTTGCTTTCATTGCAAAGAATATGGGCACCACCCATTTATTTGTAAAAAACTAACAAAGCAGGATGTTGTGGAGATAATTGATAAGGAAAAAACTATTGATGAAGTTGAAGAACCAAATAATAAAGTGGGAAGTATAGAGGAGGAGGTAAGTGGTGACAAGAGGGAGAAAATCCAGGCTGTCCCTAAGCCTTCAAAGACGCATGCTAAAGTGCCAGAAAAGGAACTCGCTGTGTCACCATCTGCCACACCAGCTGCCACGCCGGCTGCCATGCCGGTCGCCACGCTAGCTGCCAAGCCGGCAGCCTTGCTGGCTGCCAAGAAGACTGCCAAGACAAAGCCTGGTCGGTGCATGTCGCGCCTTACCCACCCGGGTATCCCTAGCCCGACCGGGTTTCATAAACTGACGGCTAGGTTCCGTTTTGTGGGCCACTGATTTGGATTGTGGAGATCTTATTTAAATTACTGATTATGTGAAATGGGGTTTGTCCAATTATTCTGGTGCATTTTACTATGCTATTTGATGCATTGTACTATGCTATTTTCTGGATATATATTTACATTTTATCCAAAAAAAAAATTGAAGAAGATGAACACTAAACTTAAGATATAGATATATTATTAATAAGCTCCAAATTACTTCTTCTTAATATCTGAAATTTTCTGAATGAGATTACAAGGCCTCATCAAACCCCTATTTATACTGGTTGAGCTTGATGATGAATTATCAAACCCCTGAAATTATCAAAGAGTAATTCTACATATTTTGCTGGCAACATTAAAACTAGCCATCTGTCTATCTATGATTAGAAGGATGAAAACTAGATTAGTGTCCTGATTACAAGGATGAACATTCACATTTGTCAATTTGATAGTTTTACAACACTATTATTATTGTTTTTATTATTTTTGTTATTTTTGTTTTTTGTTTATTTATTTAGTTAGTTTTAGTATCCTATTAATATTAGTACGAGTAGTTTCCTAAGAGTGTTAATTTAAAATTAGTCTACCAAGACTCTTGAAACTAGTATAACTAGAAGTGGTCATGACTCCATTCAATAACAATAGAAAAAATTGTCCATAATAGGATTAAAACTTACTTAAAAAGCCATAATAGAACTTACTATGTTTTATTCCCCTAATAGGAGTTATACGGTTCTACAGGTATGTTTAACGCTTTAAGCAATATCCAAAATACCCCTGCCTATGTTTGCCATTAAGCCGCAGGTGTTACCGGCTATTTTCGGTAATCCATGGATAAACCATTTATGAGTTTCGGCTATTTCCAGAAAATCAGTTTCCTAAATCAGTTGGGAAGTCAGTTGAGGTACTCTGTTTTTTTTTTCGCGTTATTCTTCTTCTTCGTCAATCATCTTCTTCGCGATTTGTTTGAGCTGTTCGTCCTTCTCCTCTGCATTCATCTTCTGCCGCCATTGTTCGTTCGTTTGCAGAGTATGTTCACCGAAACTTTCTTGTATAGTCCTTCTTCACCAATCATGGTTAAATTTATGTTGCAATTGCTCTCATTTTGCTTCTAGAATATGTCAATTCGTCCGTTGTACACATGTCGTTCTGCAATCATCAATATGTTTTATTCCTCTGTATTTTGCTTCTACAATATTAACAAAAAATTCAAAATTTTTATAATCGATTTCAAATTCATTATTGTTAATAATTTAGCTCGTTTGCTTTTCATCAACTCTATCAATGCTTTTATTTCATGAAATTTCTTCGTATGTTGCTATTTCTGCGTTTAATCTTGGTGTTTAAATTGTGTCTTGCTGTAAGTACTAGATTAGGTTCTTCATAACTGGCTCTTTTGTATTTGTAACTGTCATTTTGTATTGTTTGCTGATTTGCCATTTTGTGTGGTAAATATTATTTATACATCCTTATAGACTGTCACATATTCACGCAAACTGTCATTTTAGTATAACCAACTTTCTTCTTTCATGCTTCTGTTATACTGAAATATTTGTTTTTCCTTCAATTTTAGGAACCTTTTTGCACAATGGATCCTGTTTTACTTGTTATGGTCAAGGTCGATGGTTTTTGGGATTCTGACTATGTGTTCACCAATGTGCACACATGTGGGCTTCATGTTAACTATGGTGTTCAATATGCTTGTTTTGTTGATATGTTGACTGCCATCCTTTCTCAGTACAAACCTAATCATAATTTCAGGCTTTCTTATATGAGAGATGGATTCCCTCCTCCTGTAACTATAAATGATCAATCTACCTTAACATTTTATCTTTATATCAAGTCTCTTCAACCAGATTTTCTAAAGTATCCACTTTGTGTTGAGTTTTATCCTATCTCTTCTTCATATCCATCTTTTGTTGTTGTTGAACCTTCTGCTTTTCCTTCAGCTAAAAATGTTGTCATTTCTTCAGCTCATTCACTTTTTGTTGATGAGAATGTTGTTGTTTCTTCCCAACAACATGCCTCCTCACCTGCACTCTCTTTTGATCATAGCTCATCTTTTTGCACTGAAAATGTTAACATCTCTGGTAGACACTCTCAAGATGTTGCTTCTTGTAGTAACACTTTGTCTAGAGCTGTAGAAATTGAAACATCTGAAGACAGTGATGAAGGCATGGATGACATGTCAGATGGCTTAGTAATAGAATCATCTCAGTCACTGTCATTTCTCCACAATTTTGAAGTCATCACACAGTCCCATCCTACTTGTCTTGTTCTATATGCTATTTACAAAAGTAAAACAGACCTTATCCACCATTTGAAGATGTATGCTATCACAAACCACTTTCAATACAGAACAAAGACCTCTAGGAAAATATCTTTACATGTTATTTGCTTAGATCCAAAATGTCGTTGGACTGTTCGAGCTGTAAGACTACCTGGCGTACAAATGTTTCAAATTAGAAGGTAACTTCTTATTTCATTCTTTTTGTTTGACTTCGTTGTTAATTCTTGTTTATCAGAATGCCATGTATTGGTGACATTCTTGTCCAAGAATGCCAATTGTATATTACTCACTTGTATAAAACTGCCATTGTTTTGTCATTTTAGATTCTGTCCAGAACACACATGCTCTATTGATTATAGACAAGGCAAACATAGACAGGCAACTGCTACTGTGATAGCAAAACTTATTGCACACAAATACCTTGATGCTTCCAATAAACCGTACCCACCAAAACAAATTCGTGAAGACATGAGTATGCAATATGGAATTTCCATGTCATACAAAAAATCTTGGAAAGCACAGAAGAAAGCAATGCAGCTGCAATTTGGTTCTAATCTTGAATCCTATCAGGTTTTGCCTTCTATGGCTTATGTGCTTGAGATGGCGAATCCTGGCTCTATGTTTGATCTAGTCACAGGGAAGGATGATGCATTTTGTACCTTTTTTATGTCATTCAGAGCATGGATAGAAGCTTGGCCTCACTGTAGACCTGTTCTTATACTGGATGGTTCATTCCTGAAGGCTTACTATAAAGGCACTCTTCTTACAGCTTGTTGTCAAGATGCCAATGATCACATAGTTCCTATTGCATTTGGTATTTGTGAGTCTGAAACAAAATCTTCTTGGAAATGGTTTTTATCCAAACTCTGTCAGTCAATACAGTACAGACATGACCTTTATGTAGTATCTGATAGGCATAAAGGTCTTATAAAGACTGTTTCTGAAATCTTGCCACATGCTAGCCATGGTTTTTGTGTTGCTCATCTGCGTCGTAACATGACACACAAATTTAGAGGATCTGCAGCTACTTTGGGATGGAAGTTCAAAGCTGCCTATATGGCAGCAACTGTTAAAGAATATGATGACTACTTATCCATGTTGGATTCTGAAAACTCCAGGATAAGGACTTGGCTAGACAAAATAGGTGCTAACACATGGTCAAAAGTAATTTCTGGACCAAAGAGATATAATATTATGACCTCCAATTGTGCTGAGTCTATGAACAAAGTCAATGTATGTGCAAGAGAGTATTCAGTCTCTAAACTTGTTGATTTTTTGCGTGAAAGGATGCAACAATGGTTCACAGAGAGGAAAGATAAAGCTGAGAAAACAAGTACTATACTCACACGGAAATGTGAGAAACGTCTTGTAGCTTTGCAAGCTGAAGCTACACGTATGAAGGTATGTCAAAGCTGATTTTTAACCATAAGTCAGTTCTCAGTTTTTTATCTGGTTATATAATGCCACTTTGTTTATCACTATGTCATTTTGATTCTGCATATCTGTCAGTTTTGTTCTTGTGTTAGTATATTATTTAGGTACTTCATTTTTATTCTAATTTGATATTCATATTTTGGCCATTTCCTAGGTGAAACCATCATGTGCATATGAATTTGAAGTTGTTGATAGCAGATGCACGTCCTTTGTGGTCAATCTCAACTCTAGAAGTTGTACTTGTGGCCACTTTCAACTAGATCACTTTGTTTGTGTTCATGCTGTTGCTGCAATTGCTATACGCCCACATCTGTCATGTTATACTTACATTTCTCCTTTTTATACTAGAGATGCTTGGCTTGCTACATGGTCTGTTATTATGCATCCAATTGTTGATCGTGACAGTTGGTCTGTTCCTGCTACTATTCAAAACCAACTATGCAAGCCACCAACTTGTATGAAGCGTCCTCCTGGTCGCCCGAAGAAATCCAGGATTCCATCCATTGGAGAATATAGAGGTTCAAAAAGACAAAAATGTTCTAGATGCCATGTGCTTGGCCATAATAAGAAAACTTGTAGGAATCTCATTCCAATCAATACCCAGTGATACCCATGGCTAATTCATTGTATTTTGTCTTTTGTTTTTATAAAGTACTTTTAAGAATTCTATTATGTGGTTTGGACACAGTTATCATTTGTTTAAATGTTCTGCCATTTAGTTTTCAGGCCTTGTGTTTTGGCATTTTGTTTACTCGTAACTGACATATGTCAGATTTGATGGCAATTTCTGTTCACAATTGATGACAGTTTGTTATGGAGAGAAGTCAATGATGTATTTGACATTTGATGTCAGTGTAATAAATTTAGCCATTTCCATTGCCCAAAATGGCATGTCAATATTGTGATGTCCTATTGTATATGCGTAATTGATAATGTTCATTGTTGATGTCATTTGGGTTTCTAAAAAAATGTCATGTAACTGTCATTTTATGTCATTTACATGCTGCATGTACTCAAATCTGACCCCACAAACAATCCTTGCATATGAAACTATGTTGGAGATATTTTATTGTGAATCAAGTTGGTCATAGATTAGCTTTATATTTAATCCTTGTATTTAAATAGTGCATAAATTAGATAGAAATCAAGGCCAAGTGTTAGGCCCATTTAAACAGGCCAAAAGCCTGTTTCGCCTAACCTAAACCTCACCTATAAAAAGGGAGCCGAGGTTTAGGAAAAGGTTGAACGTCGTACTTATTATTCATAGCATTACGCTTATATCATTCTGCTGTACGTTCCACGGTTTATCAAAGAAGGTTTTACGGTGATTCATTCTGTGTTCATCTTTACGTTTAATCTTCCTTGTTAGATCGATTATTCATTGCTGTGACAGAAACAGGGACTAACAATTGGTATCAGAGCCGATCGAGAACGATCAGAAGAACTCCTGCAGAATACTCTGTTTTTGTTAACTTAGTTCATTCTGTCGATTCTTTGCTCTGTAATTTTGTTTCTTGTTCAAAAGTTGTAAAAGTTACACCTTTGGAATCGCCATTTCAAAGCGATCAAAGGGTATACTTCAGTTTGTGTTTTACGCAATTTTTGATTTCGAGATATCTCGAGCTAGGCATCTCGACATCCCACTTCTTCACAGGTTCTGCTACGTTTTTCGAGCTGAAAACTTTACCAGAAGATCTCGACACTCAACTCTACAGGAAACTATCTTCAGATTTTGATTATCTGATTTTTACAGGTTGAAAGATTTCGACATTGAGGATTTCGACATCTAGGATTTCGAAATCTTGATTTCGAGAAAAGGTTTCGACATCTGGTCTCGACATTTGACTCATCAGATTAAGATTTCGAGATATTAACTTCTCGACATTTCAAATCTCGAGATCAGCATCTCGAAATTTGAAATCTCGAGATCAGCATCTCGAAATTTGAAATCTCGAGATCCCAAATCTCGAGATCCTTAATCTCGAGCCCAAATCTCGATACCGGGCCTCCTTTATCGAAATCTGAGATTTCGATATTCAGATCTCGACATCTGATTTTTCGAGATTCTGCCTCTGAAAATCTTTTGATCAATTTTCTCGAACGGTCAGTTTAGTACAGCAATGGGTTCAGAATACAATGCACAAGGGAACAGCAGTACCCCTCCTAGCCTCAGGAAGGGAGAATACCAAATGTGGAGGAACAGATTTCTAAACTTCCTCGAGCACAAAGAAAACTCTTCTGCAATGCTCGAATCTTTGCTTGAAGGACCAGCTGAACTCTTGATTTCAGTTGGTGGAGATCCAGAGAACAATCCTCCTATTTTTCCAGAAATAAGGAGAAAAGTGCCATCCGAATACACAGAAGCCGACAAGCTCAGACTTCGTGGTGATCTTATGGCCAAAACGTACCTCCTTCAAGCAATACCAAACGAAGTTTATGTTCTCATAGATAGCATGCAGACAGCTAAGGAGATGTGGGATGAAATTGAGAAGCTGCTACAAGGCACAAGCATCAGCCTCAAAACAAAGAAGACTACGATTCTCATCGCTTATGACTCCTTCAAAGCAGGACCAGGAGAACCATTGAATGAGACTTACAATAGACTTGTTCAACTGGTAAATGAACTCAGAAAGATCAAAGTATTCAGGTCCAATCTGGAACTAAATATTAGATTCTTATCCAGCCTGCATCCTGCTTGGGAAAAGACAGTGAAGGATGTCAGATCACGGATAGATCTGGACGAAATTGACCTCTGCACACTCTATGAACATCTGAAGCAATTCGTCAACGAGGTTGCATGCGCTGAGGATCATCACACCACAAACCCCTTAGCTCTTGTAATGGATGCTCAGCCTAGAAGGACAACCACTTCACTAAAGAAGAAAAAGAAGAAGGTGGTGGTTGAATCAGATGATGATGAGAGTGACGATGACAAATCTGATCTAGAGGCTGAGCTAGCAGACTTACAGAAGAAGATGTCAATGTTGGCCAAAAGATTTGCAAAGAAAAACACTTCCTCCAACAGACTGAGAACTTCCTCCTCAAACTACAAGCAGAAGAACCATGATCAAGGATCTTCTAGGAAGGCATCATCGGCAGAAGAAGCTCCTAAATGCTATAATTGCGGCAAGCCTGGGCATGTGATCAAAGACTGCCGCCTACCAAAGAAGAAAGATGCTAACTTCTACAAGCAGAAGATGCTGTGGAATAAGCAGAAAATGCTGATGGTGCAGAAAGAAGAAGAAACCTCTGCCATGATTGCTGAAAATGAGAACTGGGCAGAAGATTCTTCTGAGGAGGAGGAAGAGAAAGACAACTATGCTCTTATGGCACGAGTGGAGGGAGATGAAATAAAGGGTGATGTTGCGATCCCCGAAGGCAACTGCTCAACAAGCTCTGTAAGTACCTCCCATACTTCTTTAAATAATCATATGCAGTCCTTACTTGAAAAGGACAATCTAATCAAAGAACTAAAGGAGAGACTAGACAATAATCATAGAGTTCTGAAACAGAATCTAGACCAAAAGTCTTCCTTAAGTATTCAACTTGAAATTGCAAAAGATCAAGTCAAAAAGGTGTCCTCAGATTTTGAAAGCTTTGAACTAAAGATAGCTGAATTAACTAAGAAATTTGAGGACAGTGAACGGGAAAAAAGCACAGCAAAGGCTGAATGCGATTTTTTGCATAACAAAAGAAGAACGCTTTTAAATAAAGTAAAAGAACTAGAAGATCTAGCTGCTAGAAGAGGTCAATCTGAACAAACTGTTTTTCTGCTTAACAACAAACAAAAGGATGACCGATTCTACAATGCTAAAACAGGACTGGGAATAACTAACCCACGTAATCTTAAGAAAGTTAATTGCCTTCAAATCTATAACAAAGATTACATGGGACTAGGGTTTGGTGAGAAAATGTATTTTCGAAGTGATGAAGATTATGCTGAAGCAGAAGAAGAAAAGAGAAAGAAACCAAAACCTGCGATTTCTTGTGATTATCCCTCTGTAAATGAAAAACAACATTCAGAAGAAAAACCTACTTCCTGCTTTAGTGAATGCCTTGACCCTTATGCCAAAGATATTCCTCACATAGGACACCCTCTAGACCCTCCTCCAAGAGTAGGTATTGCTAAAACTGGTGAGGAACCATGTATTTTTCCCATGGCTCAAAAGCTCAAAAACCTACAGAAAACTCTTGATAACGAGAGAGAGAGAGATTTGAAACTGAAAAGAAAGGTTTTGAGCGCAACTGGCAGGAACTTCTTCAAAAATTTAATGATTTGAGTGAGCAGTTTCATGCTAAAACAGACCCTTCTACGAACAAGCCTGACAGCTCACACACCTCACATGAGAAAAACAATGCTTTTAAAGGTTCGTCCACTCATCTCTCTTCTCCTTTGTTTACAGGGAATGAAGTGAATAAGGAAGGAGAAGAGAAGAATGAGTGGAGGAAAAAGAGGAAGGAAATCGCAGATGGCAAAAAGAAAGTTTTTGAGAAAAGTGCCAGCCCTAGATCTAGTTCAATATTTTACTCAAAAGTTAATTGTAATTCTGTCTCTACAAAGCAAACTTCTAACAGTTCAGTCTTGAGTCCCAAGCTGAATATTTCTGAGACATCTTCTAGACAAAGTTCTATTTATAATACAAGTGTTGCTTATGGTTATTCTGTTCCAGATCCCCATAATTATGAATGTGATATGAATGTTGTTAAATCTAAGCCTTCCAGAAAGCTTAAACCTGAAAAGGAAACCAAGAAAGAAACTTCTAAGGGAACGTTTTGTATTCCAGATATGAAATACGCCCTTAGAGTTCATTCTAGGAAACATGTTAATCGGCTTTCTAAGGAGGAGATTTTCAAAACCAAACTCAAAAAACAACCGTTCAATCACAAAGCTCCTGTCTACTCTCCTCCTGAACCTAAACCGAAAAGATGGGTCCCCAAGATAAGACCCGTCAAAACTGAAACTGAAAAATGGGTCCCCAAGATGAGACCTACCAAACCTGAATCGAATAGGTGGGTCCACAAACGAAGACCCATCCAAACTAAAACTGAAAGGTGGGTTTCCAATCGTAGACCCATCATAACTAAAACTGATAGGTGGGGTCCAAATCAAGGACCCATCAGAACTACAACTGAAAAGTGGGTCCCCAAACTTAGAACCACAAGGACTAAAATGGAAAGGTGGGTTCACAACATCAGACCCACCAAAATGGAAAGTGGTAGGTGGACTCCAAAAACCAGACACACTGCAAAAGCAGATCTGGCAATTGGAAAGCCCATCGAAGATAGATCTTTTGTTGAAAGAGCAGCTGACCTTGGATCACTGCTCAAAGCAAGTTTTAAAAAGGTGTTTCTTGATAATAAGGAAGGACCCACTCCAAGTTGGGTACCTGATCTTATTTGATTGTTTTGCAGGACGGTCATGTGTGGCACTTAGACTCAGGATGCTCAACCCACATGACCGGAATAAAGCACCTTTTGAGCAACTACACCAACTGTTACGGAGGCAATGTCAGATTCGGGAATGACGCCTCATCTCCTATCCTTGGGTATGGGGACGTCGTCTGTGCCAGTGTCACAATAAAAGATGTTTCATTCGTCAAAGGGCTCAAACACAACTTACTGAGCATTGGACAATTCTGTGACAGCGGGATGGAAGTGAGGTTCTTTGCAAAACAATGCTGTGTTCTTGACAGCACAGGAAATACATTATTAACGTGTTACAGAACATCAAATCTGTACACTATTGATCTGAAAAGCGTCCAATCCACCACTTCCATCTGTCTGCTGTCCAAAGCCTCAACTGAACAGAACAACCTATGGCA